GGGTGGTGGGGCTCTGCCGGGCTGGGTGGGCTGTGCTGGCCCTGAAGGGGAGGTGCTGGATGTGGGGAGCTGTGCTGGCCTGGGGGGGGAATGTCCTTGGGGGGGCTTTGGTGGCCTTGGGGGGCTGCCTGTGGGCGGGCTGTGCTGGCCTTGTGGCGGTTGTCCTTGGGGGGCTGTGCTGGCCTTGGGGTCTGTCTGTGGGCAGATGTGCTGGCCTTGGGGGGCTGTCCATGGGGGGGCTATGCTGGTGCTGCCTGGCAGCGCTGGGTTGGGGGCTGCTGGCAACTTGTGGAGCTGCTGGTGCTGCAGCTGTGGGGCAGCACCGGGACGCTGGAGCCAGCCCAGACCCTGCGCCTGGGCCGGCTGGCCACCCAGCTGGGCGAGCCGGAGCTGCGGGAGCTGCTGCTTCCTGACTGGGGGGCCCTCTCTGCCCTGGGGGAGCTGGACAGCTGGTCACCCGAGCAGGTGAAGCCCTGGGGGCAGGGGTGGGGGTGGGGGGGGGAACAGGGGGTGGATGGTCCCCGTGATGGGCTCTCCCCCAGATGCGGGCCGTGGTGTCCGCCTTCCTGCGGCAGCGTGGGGTGAGCGCCCAGGACCTGGGGCTGCCTGAGCTGGTGGCACTGGGGCACCTGATCTGCGGGCTGTCAGCAGCTGAGCTGCGGGGCCTGGACAGCCAGGAGCTCAGGTGGGTGTATGCCCACGGGGAGTGCGGGCCAAGCCCCGGTCGGGGACCAAGAGGAGAGGAGTGGGCACCACCCGCTGCCTCGGTACAGACAGCAGTGCTGGGCCCAGCACATGGCTACCCGATGCTGCCTGCTCCCCACAGCAAAGCTGCTCCTTTCCTGGGCTCGCTGAGCCTGCGCTGCACGGAGCAGCAGGTGGAGGTGCTGGCTGCCCACCTGACCTCCAGTGCTGCCTTCGGCCCGGCTGCCACCTGGGGACCCGAAATCTTCGCAGAGGTCGGAACGCTGGCAGGTGAGGGCTGGGACGGGGCCATGCCCTGCGGTTGCTGCTGCCTGTCCTGCTGTCCCCTGTGCCCAGGGACAGCGTCCTGACCCTGCCCTCTGTGACCCAGCTGGGCTCCCCGACATCGTCCTCTCTGCACTGGTCCCTGAGCAGATCTGGGCCCTCACGCCCCGGGCCATCGCTGCTGTCCCGGCACCCAAGTTCGCAGTGAGTTCCTGGCATCGTCCACTGGCACGCTCAGCTGGGGCACACATGGGACTGTCCCCCTGCATGCAGGGGAAGGGGGATTCCTGGCTGGGCCAGGGTGGTGGGACGCCCCGTAAACCAGACACTGAGGCATGGAGGTGGGATGTGTCCTGGCTGCACTGAGGAGCTGGTGCAGGGCATTGCCATGGCTGGCTGCCCTCTCCCCGCAGGTGGTGTTTGGCCCAGCTCAGCTGCGCACCCTCTCCAGCACCCAGGCCGCGGCTGTCACCCTGGGGCAGCGCCAGTGGCTCAGCAGCACCCAGTGCCAGGCCCTGGCCAGTGCTCAGCATGAGGGACAGGCTGCCCAGGACAGCCAAGGTGAGAGTGGCTGGGTGGCTTCTGTCCCCACGCAGCACCCCGCCTGCCTGCCGTGGGCAGCTCTGCCCGGTTGCCCCTTGTCCATGCTCTGCACCACCGGGCTCAGCATGGGCACCCTGGGATGCTGGGAGGGCTCAGGTTGTGCAGGGGTTTGGCCCCAGAGCCTGCAGCGCTACCCCGCGGGGAGGCTGGCCTGGCTTCCTGCCCAGCTCATACTCCCTCTCGGCCGAGTCCCATCCCACTTCTGCCCGGAGTCCTCCCTGCTGCTACCCCCTGCCCTAAACCCATGTCATGAACGGCAGCTCTGGGGGCAGCAGCAGAGGGTGCTGTCCCTGCCCAGAACTGTGCATATGGGGGGTTGTGTGCACACTTGTGAGCTCTGTGAGGGCTCCCAGCACGTGAACCCTTCCACGGAGTGCCGGTGCTGGCATGCTCAGCACTGACAGTGCTTTCTCTCCTGCAGGCAGGAGTGGAGACAGGCCCCAGTCTGGCTTCAGCTTGGTTCTCCTCCTCTGCCTGACCCGCTGCTTTCTGTGAGCATCCCAGTAATAAACTTGTGATGGGCATAAGCAACGAGCTCTGCTCCCTGGCTGCCTGCAGTGACACATGGCCCCAGAGCACCTTTCCCTGCCTGGCTTTGACTGTCCCAGCAGCTCCTGGCACCCTGCAGGAAGATGCCCCCCAGCCCCAGCTCCTTACCCACATGCAGTCCCTTGTGGCCCCTCAGACCATGGCAGCCCCAGCAGCCCCCCAAGCCCTTTCCCCAGGGAAGCAGTGGCTCAGGGAAATCCCGGGGAGGGCTGCTCAGGGAAGGCACAGGAAACCCAGACCCGGGTGGGTGCCCCTCTGCAGGGACACAGGGCACTGGGGAGATCGGTGGGGTGGTGGGTGCTGGGGTAAGGAGGAGACTGAGCCATAGCTACAGCAGCGCATGTTTATGGGGTCTGGCCTGGCGCGTTGCAGGTAACAGGACACAGCGACATGCTGGGCACAGAGATTGTGTAAGCTATGGGGGGAGCTGGGTCCCGTGGGGCTGGCGCTACCTTGGTCCAGCTCAGTGCCGGAACTGTGGCACTGGGGAGGGGATACGGATGTCCTGCCCCTTCTCCAGCCGCCGCTCACAGTCAATCAGGTAATTCACACCATCTATCACCAGCTGCACCAGCTCCACCTGCACCAGAAGCACACGCATCCTGACTCGGGGGCTGTTCTGGGAGCCACACCAGCAAGGCACCTGGCTGGCCCCACTGCGTGAAGGGAAGGCGCTGCCATTCCCAGCACCCATGTGCTGGTCCCAGCACACGGCCCCAGAGCTGTTTGGGTGTTGCGGGCCTGTCAGGCACACGCACTCCAGAACGCCCCTCCCCAAAAGCAGCTCTGCCCAGCACCCACCTCTGACTTCCCCAGCCGGTCCAGGTTGGAGATGTCGAAGATGCTGCCAGTAGCCGCGGTGTCCACACCACCCGTCCCACGCTTCTGTAGCCGGAGGTTCTCCAGGATCTTAGGGAAGCGGCTGTCCTGGTGCCCAGAGAAGATGTCAGCGCCCAGTGGGACCATCGGCAAGGGAGCCAGGGCTCTGCTGCCAACTGTTCCCTGGGGCAGCCCTCCTGCTGCTCATGGGACTCTGTCACCAGGCTCATAATCCCCACAGGGAGCCCTGCCCTGAGCAGAACCAGGTTAACACCTGGGTCCCTGGCCCCTCCAGTTGTGGATGCAGGCGGGGGCTGGACCATACACTTCCCGGGGGAACCTGAGCGAGGTCCAGGGCTGGGCGCCATGCAGTACTGCACCTCTCGCACGGCTGGGCTCCCTGTGCCCTGGCAGCCAAGGCTCCCCACAGCCCTGGCCTGGCTCCCCACAAAACTGGCCATGGTAATACCTTGCTGAGCAGCGGCAGCTTGATGTGGACTCCTGCTCGCAGCCCAGTGCCCAGGTTGGAGGGGCAGGTCAGGATGTAACCCAGCCGCTCATTCCACATGAACTCCCAGCCTCGCTCCTGGATTAGCCGCTCCACCTGGGTTAGAGGCACAAGCAGCTGTTCAGCCCCCAGCCATGGGGTGCCCAGCTCTTGGCATGGCAGCACCACCCAGCCCTGGCCAAGCACAGAGGGCCAGCCCCGCAGTGGCCCTGCTTGCCCCTGTCCACCTATTTGCCTGTCCACGGGGCTGGCACAGCAGGGGCTGGTGGACGCTCACCTCCTTCAGGCCCCGACAGAACCGCTCGAAGACGCGCTTCATGTTGCCACCCTTCTCCATGGAGATGATGCGGGTGTGGTCCTCCTCATTGATCCAGATCAGGAAGGTCTTCTCATTGTTGTGCCTAGGGACAGGGCACTGTTGGGCTGCGCTGGCGGCCAGCAGAGGCCCTGTGCCCACCCAGCCTCCCATGCCAGCCCCGGCCATGCCCCTTCTGCCCCTGTGACCATGGGGCCAGTGCTGCCCCACGGTCCCGGTGCTCTGCCTGCGCCCATGGCTGGGAGCGCATTGCCAAAGCACAGCCTGGCAGCAAGGCAGACAGCCAGGAGATGTGTCTGGAGATGGGCCAGTGTTCATCCACATGAGCCGCTGCGGGCAACGGATGCTGGCTCCAGTGCCGTGGGCACAGGCAAGCACTGCAGGAGGAGCAGTGCAGTGCCAGAGTGGTGGCAACCCTGCCTACGCTGGGGACAGCAGCACAGCTCCTGCACCATGCAGGCAGCAGGAGGGGGCTGTGAGGCGTGGGGTGCATGTTGGGGTGCTAGGTTAGGGGGCTGCTGGAGCTGGGGACCATGTGTGCTGTGGGGGTGTTTTCCATGAGGCTGCTATAAAGGTGCCGTGCCAGTGAGGGTGGCGTGGGCGAGTGAGTGCATGTGCCGGCTGTCACTCTGCAGGCACGTGGGATGCTGCGTGGGATGCTGCATGGCTCTGCAGAGATGCTGGGAGGGAGCAGTAAGATGCAGTCATGGCAGGGTGAGTTTGGGGGCATGTAGAGCGTGCAGAGAGCCAGGAGGAGTGCTGGGGATTGCCTGGGGAGCAGAAGGCAGTTGCAGGTTTTTGGCAGCCTAGAGTGCAAGGTGCTGCAGGATGGTGAAAGCGGGCGTGATCGGCAGCAGGGGTGGGCGCCAAAGTCCCAGTTCTTATGAGGATGCTGTAGTTTGTGTATGGAGCATCTGGCTGCTGACTGCAGTGCACAAGGGGGTCGCAGGTCAGGCCACAGAGCCCAGGATGAGCACAGCCCAGGGGTGCTGGTGCCACATGTGCTGGCGTCTGTGGTGCAGTGAGCATGGGGAACGCGGGTGGTGGGGCTGGGGCAGCCAAACGGAGCAGAAGCATCCCCTGCCTTTCTGCCCTCCTGACTCCCTGATGCCGGGGCAGATCCTCACCAGATCCCTCGGGCGTCGGGCCAGTCCCGGGCCATCCCTGCTGCCGTCAGGAGCGGGGACACCGGCTTGTCGAAGAGGAAGTGGTCCTGGAGGGAGGCAGAGTGTGTGGGCTCACCAGGGCTGCGTGGCTGGTGCCAGGGCACCCTGTCTTACTGGTCCCAGCTTGCCATGTAGGTGATGCACCACAGCTGTCCCAGGGAGGGCAAGCTCACTTGCCATCTCCACCTGTGGGCAGGAGTCCCTACCTTCCTGGCCAGGGAGGGAGAAGGCTGCTGGTGCACAGCCCACCCTTGTACCAGGGGCTGTGGGGCATGGGCCATGTCCTACAAGCCTGCCTTCCCCTGGGCACAGGCAGGGACATGGGGCGAGGGCCAGAGGGGGCTGTGAGCTGCTGGGGCTGTGTTCAGCAAGCTCCATCCTCCCCTGGCTCGGGAGGGCTGAGCAGCACCGTGAGTACCCTTTGCACTGCAGGGTGGCCTCACTGGGGAAGGGGGTCCTGGTCCCACAGGGCGGCGGGGCTGGGAAAGGAGGATACAACCTCCCGGAGAGGTGATGCTGGGGAAGGGGTTCTGCTCTGTGGGCACCCAGGGTGGCTGGCCAGGAGCTGCACTGACTCACATCAATAAGCTGCTGTTGCTCCTTCTCCGTCATCTCACTGAGGCGGTAGTACCGGCCTGCCAGGTCTCCAGTGAGGCCGTTCAGTGCCTCCACGGCCACCTTCTCCACCTCTCGCCGCTCAGCACGGGTGCAGGCTGGTGGCAGGCTCAGCCCGCGGATGCTGCGCCCAGTCCGGACCCGGGATGAGAGCACGTAGCGCTCATCGAAGTGGCCAAACTTTATCTGGAACAGACAGGAGCCATGGTGTGCTTATGGGTCGGCACTGGTGCTGGCACGGCCCTGTCCCCTGAGGCCTGGGGAAGGGGCCCTGTGTGCAGCACCGCTGCCTGGCTTGCACACCTTGGTGGCGTCCAGGTCTGTGACGTGCTTCATGGTGCGGGGATTGTATCCGTTGTGCCGCTCCTGAATCACAGGGTCAAACAGGTCAGCAAACACCTGGAAGCAAATGGTACGATGTGCAGCACTGCAGACCCAGCGCCCAACGAAGCCCCTGTCACGAGCTTGGCACAGTCCTGCTGCCAGTGTGGGGGACGTGGCAGCAGGGGGGCTGCAGAGGGTGGCTGGGGGCCACCATGCATCCTGCAATGCAATAGCAATCCATGGGGCTGAGACTGCCTGGGCAAGCGGGGGGTTCAGGGGCAAGGAGGAGGAGGTGCAGGGCTCTAGAACAGCTGCTCTGAAGGAGCCCTCTCCCCCACAGGGACATGCTGGGGCCAGCCAAGGGGCCTCTCCAGCTGCCCAGGCTGGGCAGGAGGAGGTGGCCAGTAACATGCCAGGCTGCTGGATGTCCTGCAGGTACCGGCACTCCTCTGGCTGCTGCAGGCACCCTGGAGAGCCCGGAGCATGGCAGGGCTCCAGCCACCACTCACCTCATAGGTTTCTTCATCACCAGCTACCATGCCCACAGTTTTGATGAAGGGGTGGCCGGGGTTGTCGACACCCGTCTGGATGCACTGGTCCAAGGTCCAGCCATTTGGGGTTGCTTTGTCACAGAGCCTGGCATAGATGGCTGGTGTCAAGTTGCTGGCCATGCAGTTGTTATGCTTCCGCAGGTCTGGGTACTCGGCGCTGTGGGAAGAGAGACTGATGAGTCCTTTGGGGACAGGGACCCCAGCACTCGTGCCCTTGCCCCACAGAGACCCTCAGGACAGGCATGGGCAGGGGAGCTCTGGGGAGGGACGTCAAGCTGCTCTGCTTGTCCACACCAGCAAAGGCCAGCCAGGAGCAGGAAGGCAGTTATGGGCATCACACAGCGAGGGCAGAGAGCAGCCTGAGCCAAGGGCTGACATTGCCACAAGGACAAGAATGCATGACCAAATCTGGACTGGTTGTTAGGGTGCGGCTCCTTATCAGCCCCGTACCGGGCGAGCAGCAGCAGCCACGTCAGCCCCAGTGCACAGGCAGCTGGTGGGAGCCTGTGCGCTGAGCTGCCAGAGCAGCCGGGCCGCGGAGGCGGAGGTCTCGCTCCCCTTCTCCCTGGGGCTGCCCTGACACCAGCCCAAATGGAGGGTGGCTGCTCCCGCTGCCCCTTCTGCCCAGCACTCTGGAGTCTGCCTGT